GCCCAAAACCCCAAAACCCCAAAACCCCGCGAATTGAAATCTTAAAAATATCTAGAGAGCAAGTAATTCTGATATAATTAATTAGATTTAATTAAAATAAAATATTTACTATGACAGATATAAGTAATTCCAAAAAAAAGGACTCATATAATTCTCCATCTTCTGTTCTTATAAAAGATAGAAGTGCTACCAAATTTCAGTCTTAAACTCAGCTTGAGCAGATAGCAATGGCAGCATAAACATAGTAGTCTAGTCTCTAGAAACACAAATCTCAAGTTCAAACTGGTCTTTAAAAGTAAGATTATTTTTCTTTGTAGATGTTTATTTTTTCCGCATAGAAGTGGGGCAACTAACACCCCTTTGGAAAGAAGCAGATAAAAGAAGTTTAGTGCATATGAAGCTAGCGATGATGAGTCTGTTCTCGAATTCCAAAATATTGAGAACTAATTACTCAGGGATAAAGGTACTAAGGCTCAAGGAGATGGGCAGATTCCAAACTAGCAAGCATCTAGTAAGTTCAAGAAAGCATCAACACAGCGACTAGAAGCCTAGTTAAGTCCAAAGAAATAACTTTCAAATAACCTTCCTAAGAAAAAGCCTTCAACAATAGTTAAATAAGATCTTTAACCCATAACTGCTCCTACAACTTCTAAAGAATAAAATGCAGGAGAGTAGAAGAAAGAGACATCAAAGAGCAGTGGAAAGTGCTATAGCATCTTCTGTTGTGGCTACTGCTGTTCAAAAGGAACTGGAGTAAGTGATAAGGAGAAAAATTAAGAGCTGAACTTAGCTCGTCCAGAGAAGATGCAGAATGACGTTACTTTTATTGGAAATAATAAAGGTTAGAAGAGCAATGCTGGCTATAATCATGACTAAGATTTATCGCTAATAGATGATAGGGAAGAGATGGATTATAATTCAGTGAGTTAGTCTGTAATAGACTTAAAATAGGATTAAATTGATGATGAGAAAAATAAAATAGACTCTAATCAGGATAATGATGATAGTATTTAGGATAATGATAGTGTTGGAGATGAAGAAAAAGTTGAACTAGATTTAAGGTCTGATCTTAAACCTAATAGTGGAGAGCATTCAATTAATGGATTTCAAAGATCTATCAAATCAAGCTCAGATCCATTAGAAGTTAAGAATGTCCCAAATATAGATATTGATGATTAATTGGCTGTAGAGGATGATCATGTATCCAATGCCTCTTTCAACAGAAGGTAGCAAGAGATTATGCAAAATCAAAATATCTACACTGTAGAAAATAATACGAGAACATCTCCTGATGGAAGGTTTTACACAAATGATCACTTTATGAGGATTGATGGACAAACTCCGGAAAGCTAAATTCAAATGATTTCTGACGAAATGTCTCCAAAGATAGAGAGATCTCTATTGAGTGATAACTATCACAATGATCATTCTTAATAAGTAGAGTCAGAGAATATGGAAGGAAATCATCATCATAACAGACAAGATAATCAAGCAGATGAAATAGATGGAGATGATAGTCTCCAAGATATGGATGATGTCAGTGACAGAACTACTGAAAATGATCAGGAGCAATACAAACTTGCGCAAGCAAAGAGAATGTATATAATTCACGAGGTAGATGAAGACTAGTTATCTGAGATGAGTTCTAGGAAAGACAAGTCACAGAGATTGTCATATGTAAATCAGAGACAGCATTCAAATGCCATTGACCACTCAATGCAAGGTGACCAAAATATATTACAGATTTTAAAGGAGGAGAATGAAGATGAGGATGTGTATGGTTTAAATTAGATCAGACACCATTAGACGCTAAGTCTTGACAATGATATGAGTAACATGCAGATTAATGGCTCTTAGGACATTGAACCCCACAACAACTCTGCTGGAATAAACTTTCAACTTACCAAATAAGCATCAATAGAAAATAGCAATAACAAGAATCATATCAGAATAGAAAATGATCAAACTAATGAGAAGTAAGGAATGCAAAAATCAAAGACCTGGAATAAATAAGAAATCCCAGTCTTTATTGATGAAAATGGATTAACTCATAGTCCAAATTTCAACTCTAAATCCTTAATAAATTTTGGCCAATATATGTAAGAAGAGGAAGCAAAGTAAGTTTCCCCAATTAGAGCTAAACAAAGATCTTAAAATTCACCATCATAGAAAAATATTAAAGTAGAGGATGGGAAACAATAAACAGCATTTTTCAGGCCTCAAAGATAGTCAAATGGAAGTATAAAAGGATCTGCCATACAGCCTAACAACAGTCCCACTAAAAGCAAATAGGATCAAGAGGAAATTTTATTCATAAATGATATTGATGCACAATTTAACTTATAAGTATCACCATTTGAACAGAAATAATACTCTCAGAATAATAATAACAGCTATATTTAGTAACAATAGCTACCTTAATAAAGTCCCTAAACACAAGTCATAATTTAAAAAGTAAGCGTTGATAAATCTAAGCTTATGCAATCACCCGCTTACTAAAACTTTGATCAATTCTTAATAGCAAATAATTTGAATTAAGAAGATCAAACGATGATTGCTTCCAATCAGAAATATATAGATGAAGGGAAAGAAAAAGCAAAAATACTTAATGAGAGTTAAGACTAAATTCTTCTTTCAAAAGAAAATAAGAGTAAAACTCAAGATAGAATAAGTTTGATAGAAAAATAAAAGACTTAATAGGCAGCACATGCTAAGTAAAGAGCTGTTATAAGAGAAAAAGAGAGATCTGCAAAAGTAAATTGTGCAATTAGGATCTAAAAGATATGGAAAGGCTATCAAATTAGAAAAGACTTTGCATTTTTAGTAAAAAATCTAAGAAAAGTTAAGGCTCTCAGAAAACTATTTGAAAATCATTACCTTGGATTTAAGTAGGGATTACTCAATGACTTGAAGTCTCATCTTTAGAAGGGGAAACAAAATATAGACAAGGAAGAAAAAGAAATGATGAATAACTTTTTGAATGTATGTGCTGTTCAGATTCAATCTGCTTGGAGAGGATCAAAATATAGAATGAAAGAACTTCCATCTATAAAAAATTAGAGAAAGGCTGAAGAGAGGATTAGAGCTTTTGTCAGAGCATGGAAGGTCCGTAAAGTTATGCAAACAAGAGAGGTATTTCTCATCTAGTAGCATATCAAGGATCTGACCAAAGTATAGCAGTATTTTTACTATCTCGAGAAAGAGAACAACCCCCTCTTGCTTCAATAGCTCCATAAAGACAGAAGAAGTGCCATTTAAACTCATTTAGATGCGATTGATGGTCTCTACAAGAGCGGTGCTTGGATCAAGAGCTACATAGGAAATAAGATCATAGAGAACGACAGTCTTATGGACTCTACCCAAGACGGTGAGAGTCATCTCAAGTCTCCCATCAAAGAGTACCGACTGGACACTGATACAGCCACTCCCTTGAAAGAACTCGTAACCACAGAGAGATTCTTATACGATGAAGACCTTGAAAGGAACCCATACATATTCGAAAGCGATGAGTTTGTGAGGTAGAAGTTTCTTGAAAGAAGATAGAAAGAATACTCAGGAGTCGAAATAAGACATGAAACAGATGACTTCATTGGTTAGCAGTAACATAAAGGGTAAAATTATTCAGGGGCAAATTTGAGTAAGAAAGCTGCATCTAACAAGAGCAGAAACAACCTCAAGGCAGTCGATGATGATTCAAGTAGCTTGATGTCTGATGAGAAGTTGATCGATAGAAGGACCATTGGAAACTAGCAATCTAGGAGTTATGCAGCCAACCCTAAGGATAACTTGGCTCTGCCAAAGCATAAACTTACTTTCGATCAAATGCTAGAGAACGCCATTCAGCATGATAAAAGTGGATCAAAAGGAGGAAGGGGAGTTTCCAAATCTGGTTCTTAAAGCTTTCTCAAGAGAAAGGAGAGATATGATCCTAAGATGTCCATCATCAATTAGAAAGGTGTTGTCTCTGAGAAGAACATAAACAAAAGGAGAGTATTTAAGTCAAATGAAAGGGATGAGGACTCTGAAATTAGTAATGATGATGGTGATGGAATCTACTCTGATGGAGCTTAGAGTGAGAGCAAAGGTACATTCAAAAATTTCCCTAGAAAGTCTTTTATATAAATTGAAAGTGAGCCTCTCATATCTAATAAAACAATTCTGCCACCAACACTATTACAAAAGCTATATTCTTAGCAAGTAAAGACTTAAATGTTCTTAAGAACTGACACTGGCAGATTTATAGGTTCAAATCATTAATCTTACCAACCATTAAATAAGAATCAAGTCTATCCAAAGATGGCTAATGGAAGTGAATTAGATCAAGGAAAAGTTATTTTAGCTCTTGAGGAGCTCGATAAGATATACAGTGTCTATCATGAGGGAAAAGATGCCAATATGTTCTTGAAAGCTTCAACTATAATTAGAGATAAAAACTCAGCTATTCCTGTACTCAAGGAAAAGGCAATGTTCTTCAATTTCAATGATGATTCAGTCTATGAGAGCGTATTGGAGGAATTAAGAAATTCTCATATCAGAATAACAAAGGATAATAAAAAGTGGATGCTTGGAAGTGCTCATATATTATGAAATTCCAGATTGGAATTTATCTCTAAGTATATGAATTGACTCTTGGTAAAACATATATAAGTTTTTAATCTTAATTTCATTAAATTCAAAATATTCTATACTTTTGGGGTTTTGGGGTTTTGGGGTTTTGGGGTTTTGGGG